GTTCTGGAGCAGTGGTGGTGGCCATTCCTGCCCTTGTGGATTATTCTGGTTTCCCCTGGGCCCATCCTGGCTCTTTGGCCTCAGCCCCCTGCCTCACCTTTCCTGTCTTAGCTTTTCTGTGGGTCTTAAGTGCCTCCCCATCATCCACAGGATAAAACAGAAGCTGCAGACTAGTCCTTTTATGACCTGACTCTTGCCTATGTGCCCAGCCATCGGCTGTCTCCCCCGCCTGCCCTCGCTTCCCCACGCTGGGTCCTGGGTCCTCGGTCAGGGCACTCATGTTCTCACTGGCTGCCTGGTGAAACCTGTGTAACCTTTGGGTGCCTTTATGATGCCCACGCATGCCAGCATGCACCTTCAGCTACAGTGCTTACCAGGTGGCTTCTGCAAGACCCTGATTCTCTGTGCTGTAGTCTCCCACCCCTTCACCCCCAAACGCTGCACATGGTGTGGGCCAGGACCCCATTTCCTTATCCTTCAAGGACTTAACACAATGCTGGTGTGATAATAGCAGCTCCGTGAGGAGAGGATAAATGATTAAAAAACCACTGTGCTTTAATGAAGCTAATTTAATATGAGGTGATTGTAATTGGTTCTCACTCTTCATTTCATTTGACACTAGAACATTTCAAGTCTGGGTTAAATTTGAACAATTACTTTAATCGTAGGAGGAGGAATTCCCTCTACATTAATGCAGACCGCCAAGACCTCTAAGTGCCTCACGAAACAGGCCCGTGGCTCCGGGCGGTGGGATGAACCAGCGTCCCCTCACTTCTGTCCTGGCCAGGAAAGGACCACCCTGAAGCTACTCAGGTTACAGTGGCCACTCTGCTCTTTATTTGAGGAGGAGGATGAGTAACTGTTTCCTGTGCAGATGTGTTACGGTTGTGATAACCACAGGGTTAACTGAGGGGACAACCTGGGTAGAATGATCCGTGGGGAGGACCAGAAGGGCTCCTCTGGGGCTCACGTGCCCGAGAGAGGCTGGCGGATGGTGACAGAAAGCAACAGAAGTCAACTCTTCCCGTCATGATTCAGAGTGAGCCACGGCTGGCCCTGCGCACTGTCTCCTGCTGCAGGGATGCACTGGATACCTGTGACTGATGTGGAGAAAGAGGCAGAAGTGGGACTCCAAGAATGCTTGCGGAGCACTGGGGGTGGGGCTCAGGAAGGGGCTCTGAAACTTGCAGAAGGCATGGGGGCCAAGCATCCCCACCTGTCCTGCCCTTGCAACTTCATCACTAAGACAGACATTTGATTGTAATCCACACTATTAATGGACCCCTGTGGTGTCTGACAGGTTCCCAGGTGTGGGGGGATACATCAGCAGGTGACAACCATGAAGAGAATTACTTGCAGAAATCTATGTAAGAACAACCTACAAAGGTACTCTGTACAGATCACGATCCCGGAGCCCCAGGCTATTTGCGTGCTTCTCAACACCTGCAATTTGTCACCATCTGACTTAGATTCGAGTGGCCCGGACAGAGCCTGACAGCCTCAACGTCACCTCTAAGGGCAGCACAGTGTGGGATTTGGTTTCCTTGTTTGGGTCACTGTGTGCCTACTTATGGACAAGGTTGGGAGTCTCCACTTGGGTCAGGCTTTCAGCTTGGTTTCCGTTAGTGCGTGGGTAGTAAAATCCTGGCTACTGACCGGCAAGTTCAGAGTAACTTCCTCTAGTGTGGGGTTTTCCGCCGTCCCATTTGGAACAGGGTTTCTGATGGATGAAGTATGAGAATATCCTTTTCTAAGATGCTAACAGAGATTAAAATGTCAAAGGGCAATGGTAAAAAAACAATAGGCTTTGAAACGTTCAATGACCACAGCCAATGAATGCAAGTGTGTAGTTTATGAATTTTAGATCCCCTGAGCCTCCTGGTCAATATCTGTCCTTGCCTCCTTTCTCTTTGCCTTCTCATCTTCTCTTTGCCCATGATTTTGTCTCTTTCCTCCTTAATAGCGCCTTCTCTGGATCTTTAAAATGTTTATTATTTATTTATTTATTTATTTTTATTTCCTGGCCATGTCTTACGGTATATGGGATTTTAGTTCCCCAAACAGGGATCAAACCCATGCCCCCTGCATTGGAAGCTTGGAGTCTTAACCACTGGACCACCAGGGATGTCCTCGGGTCTTTTTTATACATATGTTTCCCCCTGTATTTTTCTCATGTGCATTTTCTTATATTTCATCTTTTTTTCTTCCTTTCTCTGTTTTTTCTTCCTTATCATGACCCTCCTCACTTCAGCAATGTGGCAAATATATTTTGAAGTCTTATCATGTATTTATTAAATAAAGTTGTTTTTCCTTAAACATTTGAAAACCTGTTAATATTTTTGCGTCCCTTGCTTGCCCTTTAAAAAAATGATGAATGCTATTGTTTCTGACGTGGTTGATAAATGGCACGTGATAGAAAGAAATACTCCTCACCCTGCTCTAGAAGATGAAGAAGATACCCCATCCCCATGATGGTACTTGCATAGCCATCAAAAGCATTTGGACCCCTATGGTGATTGGAGATGAATTGCTCTCTAGTCTAGTTAGACAGAGAGATATTCTAGTAACCAGATGGTTTTTGCTTGGCAGTTTAACAAGCAGAGTGTTTACTGGCTCTGAAAACTCATTCAGTGCACTGTGTCCTAGGCATTGGTGGTTCTGTTTTTGTCCGTTTTCTCTGGTGGCCATGGATTTGATGTTCCCATCACATTTATTGTGCAGTTCTTAAAAGAATGTTAATTCTTTGCTTAGCCCACTGATAGGCTCTCCTTCGATAATTAGGTATTTATTTCCTTGCAGGTTTCCTATGTAGAATAAATGTATAGTTGTATATAATGTTATTCAGGAATTTAATTTTGATGAACTATTTGTTAGTGTTGACCATGTGATTAACTTTCATAGTGAGCACCTTGAAAAGTAGGAGTATGTCATATATTTTATAATTTTTTTTTTTATCTTTGTCAGGATCACTGGACTGGAATGTTGGGTATGATTCCAAGGTCTGTTTTCAAACTTTAAATTTCCTTTGTGCATTGAGCTTATCTATGTGATCTTTTCTTTTCTTCTTCTTCTTCTATTTTTTTTTTTTAAGACAGAGCAAGTTAGAAGAATGGCCATGCCCTTTCATCTACCGAAGGGTTTGGAATTCAATTTTGGCAGAATTCTCTTAAGCCAGTGGATGCATAGGTGAAAATCCTTAGAACCATCGCAGAGGCAAACATGAAACTGAAAATCAACACATCAGGGAGGGTCCAGGGAGGGGCTTTTATTTAAATGCATCTGGATCCAATAGATATAGAAAAATTAAAATACCTTTATCAGAAATATTGACCAGTAGATCTCTTATAGTGCCCTAAATGGTTTATAATTCAGTTAGGTGAGTTAAAAAAATATTCACTGAACTAGAGATCAAATTCTAACAGGAGACTCACGGTAAAACCTGTTAGCATCACAACTCACACAAGACACTATTTGATTTAATGCACCATACACCCCAGACTCCACTCATGGAAAAGGATGCTAGATTCCAAGCCGTTGATCTTTCTAGCGTTCAGAGAATCTGTGAGTCTTTTTTGTGTTGGCGACTTCGGACTTAGAGATTAGGACTAAGTCTGTGAAAGTGCTGTGGATTATGAATTACTTGATGTGTCCCAATCTCGCTCCATATTTTGACAGCATAGGCATGTCAGTTTCATAGTGGTTCTGGTACCCTCACTATTTCATTCCAGGTCTGAGAAGAACACCTTCTATGACTCAAGGGCCTTTCCCTGACAGAGAACCAGTTTGGTGTTCTTCAAACCAAGTGGCAAATCCTTGGAACATTTTTCCATCTGCAAAGCTAGAGGTAGAGAGAAGGGTGGAACGGAGTGAGGTCAGGGAGTGACCCAGAAAGGAGAGCAGAAGAGAGACGTGGGAGCACCTTGCCCTTCCCTTAGTCCCTGTGAGCTGCCATTTCCATCGTGAAATTAGCATGTGTTCAAGACATATGAAATTAGGCAGAGGTTTTGGGTCAGGAATTAAAGAAATGCAATGTACAGAACCTTGTAACATTACCTTTTCTTGGAAGGCGGGGTACCTTTGGAGATAAGGGCTCATTGACTGGGCTGCAGGAGAACACCTGTATTTAACAGTCTCACGATTTGAGGAATAGTAGAAAGAGAAGACAGGGGCCAGTTAAATTTGTGCAAGATCCATGGCTAATTTTGCAGGCCAATTTTAAGTAGGTGTTTATGGCCCTAATGACAATGGAGAAATGTTTACAAGCTTCCCTTGTCACTTTAGATGTGAAATCCATCACTAGGAAAATGTACCTTTGCAAAGGAAAAAAGTCTGCATTGTCTATTTATTTCATATCCACATGGTCTTTAACAGTTAAACGTCAACACAGGAAATTGCATTTCTCAGTTTGCAGGAGGATTTATTATAATTAATTTTTCTTTTCTCTTCAAAACGCTTTGTGTATCCTGTTTACTTGGCTTAAGAGTTTAGAGCATTATACCACTGACAGACTCGAAACCTAAATCACTGCAAGCTGCTTACATCTCAAGTTCTCCATCTTTTAACGGTTCTCTCTGAAATTCCAAAACAGCACCTAACAAGTCTAACAACAAGAAGCCATTCTTTCCTCTCTTTAGATTATCCAGCCTATGGAATATCTGTGCATAAAACTTCAGCTTTAGACTTTGTCTAAACCTCTTAAAAATCAGTTTAAAATTATTGTGGGTCCCAATACCCAACACAGTGCTACAAATAAAATTCATTTTAACTCTTTAGCTCCATAATGTTGGGGGAAAATTTCAGCACAGAATTGGACACCATGAGAGATGAATTTTGAAAAACACATAATGTAACATTAACACAATATGATCTGTGTTAAATAGACCTTGGCTATCACAAGAGTGAAAGACAAATCAGATAATCACAAGGGGACGTGTTTTTTGCAAGATTTTGTCGTTTTCCATTCAAAACCAAAAATGAAGAATAAATTTCAAGTTACTTACTCATGGATTCTGTCAACTTGGCCATCGTTGAAATCTCCTCTTTGTGCTTTTCCTGGAGGTGATAAGAAAAGATAATTATGTACAAAGCACATCTTAAATATGAGTCAACACAATGGGTCTGTAACAACAGCTCTCTCTTTCTCTCTCTCTCCCTTTCTCTTATGTTAGAATTTGGTCACCAATGATGAAATGAATTTTAAAATCTCACATTATTGCTATATGATCAGTCAGTCACTGAAAACAGATTTTTAGAATCCTAAAAACCTTGCCAGTGCTCTTGGAAATGACTGTCTGTCACATTGATCTTGGATATGTATAATTGGTGACACATGACCAGTTTTCAAAACCTCCTTGACACTGGAGTTTTGATATCCATATGCCAGTCTTTTGCTCTCTATTTTCTCCTGTTGAAGCATTTTTGGAGCTGGTATTTTTGTAGTCATTTGGTCTCATTTTTTCCTAAAAGTTAAATAGATTTTGTACATTTTTCTTTGTCTTACTTTTTTGAATTCCTGGAGTTTTTTGAAAGTCATCATTTTTGATGGGTTTATGACCTTATCTGTTTTGGGCTGAAAACATTTTGTTTCAACTGGGATGTAGGCTATAACCCACTGAGTCTGAGAGCGAGAATGATACATACATAAATTGAATCTGTCCTAATTAGAAGATTACTTCAGAGCTATTAAGAATAATGGTCATCTCTTCTGAAAGTTCTCTTCAATTTCTTTAATTTCCTTAGGCTCCTAACATGTGTAGTAACTGAAACATTGGCTGCTATGATTTTACTTTTTTTTACAGCCTTATTTTTTTTCTGATGATGAAACTAACACATGCTCATTATTTAAAAATGCAGAAAATATTGAAAAATTATAAATCAGAAAATATAGTTCTCTCATGATGCCACCCCACAGAGAAAACCACTGTAATGTTTTGGTGAAAATCTTTCTATTACCATTTCTATACCTGTAAATATATACAGATATGGAAATATAATCCCCTTTTTATAAATATAAATATCTATACTATACATACGATGTTGTAAGCTACTGTCACTTAACTCCGTATCATACATCTTTTATGTCAATAAAGGTAGAATACATCATCATTTTTTAGTGACTGCATAGCATTCATCATGAATTACACCATAATTTCCTCAACCAGATTCCACTGAATTTGCTTCAGATTGTCACTATTGTATAAAACGCTGTGATGAGCATCCTTGAACTCACATATTTGTGCCCTTGTCCTATCAACACTGAGGATAAATATCAGAGTTAGGTATGATTTGGTTAAAAAGTATGACTATTAAGAATTTTGACACGTATTGCTCAATTGTCCCCCACAAACTTTGGCTCTGACAGTGTTCAAAAACATTTGTTCCTGTATATTCTTGCCAACTTGCCAGTGGCTTTAGCACTCCTCCTCAATCTTTGCCAAACTGATAAGCAAAAAGTGGTATCTTGTGCTTTTATACTGTCATTTTTCTTTCTCCGACCTTCTGTTTACGAACGACAGTAGCATGCTTTCACATGGAGTAGGTATGTCATTGACTCTGTTGTGTAGCTGTCCCCTAGCTCCTGTGCCATCAACACTCTGGTTCTTAGAAGCCAAAGGTGGCATTTATCTTCCCCCGTGGCCACAGTTTAGTGTTGAGTTCTTCATAGCTGCTTGGCTAGCGCTAGAGTCAACGTGTCATGGCTTGGGTGTGGAAGTACAATCAGCATCATTATTCATTCTTCTAGAGCCACCATCCCCAAACTAAAAGGGTCTGTGTTGAGTGTCAATAAACAACTTTGAACACCACAAGTACACTTGACTTGCACAAGCCCTGCAATAATGCAGTGAAACCAGGGCACTGCCTCTTACTTAAACTAATAATTGCCCTTGAGGACAGAAGAAGCTAAGAAACCATAATCTACCACCCTACTGTGGTGGCATTAACCTATGATGTTTAGCCTGCCACGTGGTTTATTTCAAGATGTAAAGGAAAAGCACAGCTACTGGAGAGGCTAAGAGCGTTGGGTGGCAGAGACAAGACCGGCAGAGAGGAACATCTCACAGCAACGCGGGTTCACAGGTGCGTGCACAAGGCTGCTTCAAAGACAAGTCTACCCTGGTGGTTGATGGTAATTCACGCGTAGATGCAACTCCATGGTGAGAACTCAGTGAAATTCATCCTTGACCTGTAGGAAACTTGTTCTGTCTCCACTTGCTCTGTCCTTGACTCTCCACCTCACCTCTTAGCCTAGTTCTGCTGCTGGTTTGGCCTCTCTAGTTACACCATCTCTCCTTGTATCCTGGTCTATGATTTGCTTTCCCTTTGTTCCCTGTGCTCCATCAAGTCTTACTCTGGATCACTCACCTCTTCAGCTTGGTCCTCTTCTAATGGCCCCAGTGGTGACAGTCCCCAAACCACAGGCACCCAGATTCCAGGCATTATATTCTCACAAAGCTCTGTCATTTGTCTGTCTTCTTGTGTGTGTATCACTGTGTTATCTCTTATGACCCAGGGACCCCACCACCTTTTGTACTCCAGTCTTGCTGGTGGATGTTCCTTGCAGCTATTTTTATCCAGATGTGTTGGATATCCTGGAGAAATCAAATACTGCCTGTGTCAGCATTTTCCTCTTCCCTGTGCCAGATGGAAACTTCTGACATTGAGAGGGGAGGGGCCCTTAAAAGTCCTAAATTTAGCTCTCCCAGTTTGACTCATCTATGGCATAACTTATGGTGGAAATCATGACATATGTTTCTGTGTAAGTGGTTTAGTCATTCGAGGAGATGCCTTTAAACTCCTTATGTCCTTCCCTCATTATCGGAAAGTTGAGGTTTGCAATTACATGACATGTATACTCGATAAAGGATTTACATTTCATTCACGCAAATTCTCCTCCTTTTTCTAAAGCCAAGAGCTTCCTCCAAAGTAAAATTCCTGGTTATGGGATTTACAAATACTGGAAGAGATTTGGAATGATAGCATGTTAAACCTAGAAGAGAATCTTTTAAGGAATGTCGAGTCCAACTCCACAGTGATGCACTTGATGAAACTGAAGCCCATGCCAAGAAAGGAATTTCCACCAAGCTGGTCTCTTCTCCTTGTCAACCTCTACTCCCCGAGAACCTCAAGGTCTACCATATAGGGATATATTGTAACAAGAGTCCTTATACAACAATCCTGGTGCTGTGTTGGAGTTTCTCAGATTTGCCTTCTCTGTGTTCTTTCTTGGAGCAGTCTCATTCACAACAGTGGCTCCAATATCCACAAATGGCTGATGGCTTCCAAATTTGTACATCCAGCTCTGACCTCTACATTGAAATATCGTCTACTGGACAGCACCACACAGCTGTCTAGTGCATGTTTCAAAGCAATGTGTTCGAGGTTACTCTCTATTCCCACACACTTTCCACCAGCAACCCTCAGCCCCTCACACCTGGGCGATTTCTTCCATTCTCTGTCTTTGGTTTATGGGATCACAACCCACATTATACCTAAGCCAGAAATCTGGGAACTCCCCACCTCCCTTTTCTTCCTCACCCCCGATATTTCACTTAGCTTAAATTTGACCTCCCTTCACTGCCGTCTCTTAAAGGGAATGTTGATATTGCTTCCCTGTGTCTCCAGCCTTACCTGCAACACTGAAGGTTTATCTTGAAACAATCCTGGGGGATCTGTCTAAAATGCAGGTTTGACCCAGGCACCCCTGCTTGAAATATGTCAGTTCTTCTCTAGCAAGTAAGCATGCAATCCTTGTCTTTTAACCAGGGCAGGCTGCCTAGATGGTTCTGTCTTTATCTGTCACACCCTAGTTGTAGGTACTTTCCTGCCTTGGCAATTACCCAATTTCCATTTCCTCCTTGTGCTCCCAAATTTATCCCTAAGAACTTCCCTGGGTACCAGTAAATCTCTGCAGTTTTCCCCTACTCCTCCTGATCATCTTTTCTGAGTTTTGTTTCTAAGCATGCTCATATGTGATCATGTATCACTGCATAATTTATTATTTGTGTAAGGGATTCTGAGACCTTTGGAAAAGTCAAGTCCACCTCCCATAGCCTCTTCCAGAGGCTCCCATTGGCACAACCATCATGGTGGGAGGAAGTGTGTGGTAGACCAGAAGTCTCTGCCATGGAAACACCCTAGGATCCTGAGCAAGGCCACATTTTGGCCACAGTTTCCTGGTCTGTTCATTTCAGACATGGTTTGCTGTTTGCTGAGGTGCCCCTAGAAGTAGTCAGCTATGTGAAGAGGGCATCTGTACATGCTTAGCTGGGAGAGAGTGTGAGTAGTGGCAATATTTTAAGATGAAAAAGACAGATATGTTTGCTTTGAGTCCTTAAGAAATATCTTTGCTCTGGGAGCCAAAGGCTTTGATAGTTGACATAATCAACTGGTTTACTCATTGTAAAATTAAAACGATACAGGAATCTTACTGTCTTGGAGAAAAGAGCCTATTTGGTCTGAAATTTTATTGTTCTTATTTACTGTGTCTGTGCTGCTTGGATGTTCTTACTATTTTGAGAATGTGAGTGAGTGAGAAGTATAGAGGTTGGGGACTTTAAAAGGTTTTTGTGTTGGTTTTACTTCCTATCCACTTACTATATTAACCTCTGGAAGCTTCAGTTTGCTTATCTCTAAAGTGGGGATAAGTAGTATCTATCTGTGTTTCTTCATTCACAGGCCCATTGTAAAGAGCAAATGAGAAAATGTGTATTAATGCACCCAAGTACTATATCTGTGTGTGTGTGTGTGTGTGTGTGTGTGTGTGTGTGTGTGTGTGTGTGAGATCATTATTCCCTTTGGCTACCATGTGGGGGTCAAGGGTTATAGTCTGTTCTTGCTATTAGAGGGCAAATACTGACCTCTGGCATTTGTACCAAATACAACAGAGCAATTTTCCCTGAAACTAATAAGACCCAAGGCTGCCTACTTTCCAGGAGACCACTCATCATAAGTGTCAACAGCTGGTGGCCATGCACCCCACACCCCCATTTCCAACACCCTCCACCAGAACACAAGTTTCCAGAACCTTGGCACACTTCTTGAAAGAGCTGGGT